AGTCAGTCTTTGCTTGGGGCAACTTTTTTTTTTTTTTTTTTTTTTTTCGTGTCCAGCAGCGGATCGCAACCCTCAGTGTCGCGCCCGCACCGGACCGGGACCGGCAACGGTATCGCAACCCTCGGCGCTGCGCCCGCCCCTCGCTCAGCCAGTGAGCAGGAACCGGTCTGCATGTGGGATCCGAACCCTCTGCGGGAGCGCCGCCACGCTCACAAGCAGCGCACTGTAGCAGTGCGCCACCGGGCCGGCCCTGGGGCAACTTTTCTGATTTTGCCTTGAAAGGTCACCTGACATACTCAGAGGCATAGCACCCTGGACAGAATTCTCCCTGGGACCCAGGAATGGAAGAAGTCATCTGAGTGCACTCCCAGCTGCCTACTGTTTTCAAAGATGTGATGGAAACGACCATTCCCTAAGTTAATCCCCTTCAGGGGTCAGATGCAGAGGCCAGAGGTTGGGGACTTTAGGGTTGCTTCTGGTGGACTTGACATCATTGCCCCAAGCAGCTTGTGAATGGCTGCAAGCTGAATGCTGGGCCTGCACCTGGTTTGTGCTAAGCTTAGTGGGAGGCAGAGGAGTGACAGCCTGGGGATAGCTTACAGCTGGGTGGGTGGGGGGCTTGCCGTCTCTGCCCCACCTCAGCTGTGGGGCCTGGCCAAATGACTGCACCTATCCAGCCTCAGTTTTCTCACTGGAAAAGCAAGGATTGTTTTGAGGCTTCAAGGACATAATCTCTGGAAAGCCTTAAGCTCAGTGCCTGGTACACAGCAGGTGCTGAGGAGATGGGAGCTGCCATGATTGGAACAATTTTCAGGCCTTCCCCAGAGGGGATGGGACCTTGGCAAAGGTTTCTTAAAAACTCCAAGAGATGGCAATCCCCCTCAAAGCTGAGCAACGGAGGAATTTGCAGGTGGGGCCTCTGGAAATCAGAAGGCAAGTTCCGTGGAACGTTGAGGGTGGAATCAGGGTGGGAGGCAGGGAAGTTGCTTCCAGACCTCCTTTGGACAGCTCTGGGGGTTAATGGTGTCCAGCCAGAATATGGTGACTCCATTCATTCCCATTTGTGTGCCCTCCCCACAGAGGTTTGGGATTCAGACTCAGGGATCTGAAATCCCCATGGGCAGGGATGAACGGGTCTTTTCCCTCCACCGTCTAACACCAGACTCAGGATTCCCAAGTGCAGCATCTTGACTCCTGTTTTGCCCTCAGTGCCACACTGTATCGATCCTCAGTCCTTTAAGTCTCCTTCCAGAACATTCCATCCAGTCATCACCAGCCCTCTACTCACTCTTTGCTACAGCTTCTGCCTGCCCCCCACATGTTCACTGTCCGTTCTACTTTTCAAAACCACAATCTGAGTAGCAGGGTCCCTGTTCAAAACCATAGCTACCCATACCCCTCAGGGTAAAGTCCATATGCCCACAGGATGGCCTGCAGGTGGTGGGGGGCATGCTGGGCTCAGAGCTCCTTCAGGGCCACTGTCCTCCTTCCCTACCCCTCCTCTCACGCCCCAGGCCCTCCCAGACCCTCCCACTGGCTCCTCCAACCTCACATTCCTCAGTTCACTGAACTCTGCTTCACCTCCAGACCTGCTGGAGCAGCCACCAACTCCTACCTGTCATTTGGATTTTAACTTTGATGGCTCTTTCTCCAGGAAGCCTTCCCTGAACTCACCACTAACCCCAAGGCTGGCTCAGGAGCCCACAAAGCAGCGTGACTTTGGCAGGAGAGGGACCTGGGTCTAGATCCCACCTCGGCCTCTGTCCAGCTGGGTGGCCTGGGGCATGTCCTGACATCTCTGTGCCTCAGTTTCCTTTCTGGGAAATGGTGACAGTAATATAAAGACCTCTGTACTTCAGGTCTATATATCTGTGCTACTATGGTAGCTGCTAGCAACATGGATATATAAATTAATTAAAATTAAATAATATTACAAGTTCAGTTACTCTGTGGCACTGGTCATATTTCAAGGGCCCCATAGTCACCCATATATGGCAACCACATTGGACAGCACAGATATTAGAACATTTCTATTACTGCAGAAATTTCTAGTGGACAGCACTGCTATAGAATTTCCCACAATATAATAATTATAATTGATGAGTTTCTTATCAGTCTTCCCTAGACAAGCACTGTTTTTGGAGCTAGAATACCTGGATTTGAATCCAGGCTCCACCACATAGTAGCTGTGTGACTTTGGACAAGCCATTTAACCTCTCTGTGCCTTGATGTTCAGACAAAGTGGACACTAATGAAGTATTATGATGAATGTCATTGCAGTCACTACTCTTTAACACAGAGTCTCACATTTGTAGTAATTCAAAGGTTAGGGTTATCTAAGGGAATTAATCTTGTAAATAAGGCTTAAGAAAACAAGCTGTGTATCAGCACTTTCTCCAGTTGGTATCCTGGTAACCTTGCATGCACTACAAGTTATTCATGCTTCATCACTCCACCAGGATCCTGGCAAGACTTCAAGTCAGCTATGCTTGA